ACGTCTGTTAGAACAAAGAGCATTTTATTTAATGCACCCGCTGCAAAAGGTGCAACGGATAATATCTGAAGAGATCGTTATCAGAAACACTCTTCATCGTCAGTCGCGAGGTGAGGTGACTCTTCAGACTTCTCATCAGTCACAAAGCGACATGATTATTCGACCCCATCTCACGTCAATCGCGAAGCGATGTGACCGACTACGAAGCAGCATGGCCATTTATCCTAAAAAGTTGCTAAGTGAGAACATGTCAGGAATTCCCTCAGGTCGAGATCATCACTAGTACTGGGCAACCGTGACCAGGTCGCTGACCCTGAGGTAGCGCATCATCCCAGGTCGCTTATGGGAAGATGTCCTCACGATCTCCTTTGCAATCAGGTCGGATTGGCCAACATCTCTTCAAACACATCAGATCAAGGCATTTATAATTTCCAAGGTTCGATTCTCAAACCTTAAAAACCAAGGGACTTTTGTTATACCTGAAAATATAGGGCTGACACAAGACCCAGTCAGTATAAAAAGTCAGAGGTTAGGTAGGCTCGCAGCCAGTTAGAAGCAACCACGTCGCGTGGTGACCTGAGGAGCACACTCCTGTCAGTAAAGTGGGTGCGCGCCAATCCAACCAAAAGCCATAGTGATTCCACGTGTCCAATCCCTACACCAAATCGCGTAAATCACTCTTGAAGTTGGACAATGTGACATAAAGAAGGATTTGCACGGATAATCCCACCAACTCTCAGATTTAGTTATGATAACCTTAATCCATCCCACTATAAATTGAGAGCTCTTCTCTCATTTATGGGATTAGCTACTCTCTCTCTCAAAAGTATATAGCATTCTCTCTCTTGTATAATCATTTGTAAGTCAGTTCGCTAACGCGACCTGACCTCTATCATTAATACAAAAATTAGTGGACGTAGGATTCGCTTCCTTAGCATCCGAACCACTTTAAATGTTGTTTTCCATTGCATTTACTCTCATTTTTCACATTCACGTGTCTTCTGGGCCTGCACAGCATTTCACATGTGCGTTTGGTTGGTGTCAAAATCACGCATCAACAAATTAAATGCAAATATCACCATAATCATCAATAAATTTAGCATGGCAATGCCTTGCTTCAAAATTATAAGAATAAAAAGAAGGGAAGAAAATCTCTGTTGATTGTCTATTCTTTCTTCACCATACACCATGGTTGTAGAGAGTCAGAGTTTACTTCCACATTTTACAATAATCAGATAAATAGAAAATTTAACCACTAACCAAGTGGAGGAACTCATCCCATGAGTCTGATTTAACCCCAGTGCGAGCAACCTTTTCTTTATCCTCCTTAATCAACGAGGTGAAGCAAATAATTGCAGCAACCGCAAGCAAGGCTCAGAAAAAGTGCATTTTAGCAGTTACAGTAAATAAAAAATCCAACTAGTCATTCTCACTTTTCAGCCGTTGAGAAGATCCACAGTCAGGACTCAGTAGTTGCATTTACAAATATATGGATCAATTAGAACAATCTGCTACTCTTAGAATTTAAAATCACAAGTAGAAGCACATTATTCAACCAAAAAATAGATAAATATATTAAACTTACTTCTTTGGAGGAGGGTGGCCGACAATGGGTTAACGGACCTCAAAAGTGCGCCGGTGGTGGCAACCGGAAGATGGTGGCCTCGGGTTAGAGGAGGGTGGCCAACGATGGGTGAACTTCACTAGAAAAGTTGCATTGGTGGTGGTTAAAAAGGATGGTGACGGAACTCGAGTTCTGGGCACCGGTGGTGGCGCGAAACTAGTGGCCTGGGGTTGGAGAAGGATGGCCCAAGGTGGTCCAAAGAACTCGAAAATGGTAGCCAGTGATTGTGGTTGTACCTACTAGCCTTGATTTGTTGGATGAAACCGAAAGATTGTGGTGTTTCTTAAGCCTTAAGCGGCGGAAGAAGGTATTTTTGGGTGGTGTTTTAGAATGTAGGTGGAAGAGGGTGTTATGGTGGTTGTAACGTGGAAGAGGGTGGCAGTTTCTGTGTTAATTTTTGAAGAAGAAATGTGGAAGAGGGTGGCGATCGTTGGTTCTGATCTTTGAAGAAGAAGGTGGAAGTCGTGGTATATAAAGGTGGAAGTTGTAGATAAATTGAAGAAGGAGAAAAAAGAAGAAAGAAGGCAAAAACAAAAAATGTAAAATGCAGCACTGGCTAAATCAGAATTAGTCAAGAATCAAAATTTCAAATTTTGATTCCCTGAATAATGTGCCAAACACGTATTTTAAAAATCTGACTACAAAAATTAAATACAATACTGAAACAAACGCAGGCTAGGTTTTTAATTTTTAGGGTTTACCGATTTGCAAAACCAGTTTCGGTTAACCGGTTTGGAATTACCCTTTAACTGTTAACCGAACAGGTTTTATCAAATTTAATAACCGAAACCAAGCCAATTACTCTGGAAAACCGATTTTTTGGACCGATTTCCCGATTCAATTCGGTTCGATTTTCGATTTTTTTNCACCAACGATTTCAGGCCATTCCAACATATTCCCAATGCAATCGACCCCTCCCAACACCACCATTACAATTCTCTTAACCCCACATCAAAACCCTTAACCTCCCCACCTGATTAAACACCCTAATCGCCGACCACCGCTCTTAGTTTTAGTCGGTGTTTCATCAAAATTTCGACAAGTCCCAACGCAAGAAACCACCCCCGAAACCACCAATAGCATCATCGGCTTCCCTCCATCAAAACCCCCAACGTCGTCGACCATAATTGCCTGCGATCGCCATCACCTCTCCTCTAGGTTTTCGCATTTTGTTGCAACTTTCCAGCCAAATTTCGACCCCTCAACAAGGTGCAGTCAAGTGGAAAAGTTAAGAGTTTTGGTGAGAAGGATAAAGGGATGCTAATGGTGGTGTTGAGGAGGTCCAATGGTACTAGAATCAAACTAGATTTTTAACTTAGTCGAGATCTCCTTTGAGGGTTATTTAAGAGATTTGAGATTTTATTTTGAGAAAAAAATAACGCTGTTAATTTAAGAGTGAGAATATGTAATTTATGAAACGATGAGTGAGAACTTGCCGATTGGCCAAACCTTAGGTGTGAAAATGCAGTCTACTCTTTCAATTAATTTGTTGCTCCGTTTATTTTACTGGACTACTTTATTTCATTTATTTCGATAACATTTTAGTATTCTAAAACAATAACATTTCAAACGAGGTTATCTTTGTACTCGTCATTGCTATAAAGATTATTTTAAACATAATCGTGTGCAGGCCAAATACCTTGAAATTACCATTTCAATTTGAGTTGGCCAATAATTTAGTTCTGTTATTATAATACACGGGTTATACTAAAAAATTGGGATAAACAATTAATGAGATTATGCTTAATAAACTAAAGTTAATTATATGATTTGTTTTTAGAGACTTTATGATTAATTGCTAAGAGAAGTGGAAGTAGAAGATTATAGTAATTCTGCAATGATTTCATTAAACAAAACTGAAACTAAAATGGCACAAAGTAAAAGACTTAGCATAAATGGAAACTTTGATTTTCATAAAAAAGCTCCATACAACCATCCCCTCAACCAGGGGTGCATACGAGCTGAGCCGAGTCAAGTAATGACTGGCTCAAGCTCGGCTCGTTACTATTGGAGTGCAACTCGAACTCGACTCGTTTCATAAAATTACTAGCTCGAGCTTGGCTCGTTTCATAAAATTACTAGCTCGAGCTCGACTCGAACACTTATTAACCGAGCCGAGCCGAGCTCGATTAAATAATAATGGAGGAACAAAAAGCCTCTCTCTTCTATTTAACTCAGACAAATTATCATACACTTGCACTACAAATCAACAAATAAAAAAAAAAAAATCAACTTCAATTTAATCAATTTCACCAAAATCCCAAAATTCAAATTAGGAAAATGAGCCAACCGCTTGATCCCAAAGAAACCTTCATCGCAAAAACAACATTCAAAGCAAAACATAAGCTGTGAATTCACAATCCTTCATCCCAAAAACAACATCCAAGCAAAACATAAGCTGTAAATTTAACAATTCTTATCCAAAAACAACATTCAAAGGAAAACACAAAATAGAAGCAAACATTAAGCATATGGAATTAAGTCCATGGGAAACAAAAAAGCATCCTATATATCACTATGTCTTCTTCTACTGTAGCAGTTACACATGCTACACAAACAAGAGCAGCAGCTTCTCTTTCTTACATGAACAACAAGACCAGCAACCAAAGATATTTCATTTTCCATTTGGCTACCAAATAGATTACTAAAACAACAATGTGAATAAAGAAAAATATCAATGAGAAATATTCAGAGCTGGTGCAGGGTAAATGAAGGCTGAGGTGAAATAAGGTTGAAGGGAAAATGTCTCTATTTAAGGGATTTTACGGCACGCAAGTGAAATAAGGTTGAAGGGTAAATGAAGGCTAGTCACTGGACGGTAGTAGTTGACTGAAGACTGGATGAAGGCTGAACAATGGTGGCGTCTCAGATTTTGAGGTGTGATTTGGCAGAGGTGAAATAAGGTTGAAGGGAAAACGTCTCTGTTTTAAGGATTTTACGATCGAATGTCTTTGTTTCAGATTTTAGGGCAAATCTGAATACGTGAGCTAAAACAAATCGATCGATCTCACTAGCTCTCCTACTCGAATGACGTCTCGAGTTTCTCAAAAGTTCGCAAGTAGTTCGAATCGAGCCTGAAAAGCTCAACATTTTTCACAAGCTTGAAGATGAGCTCGAACTCGTGAACTACTCGATTTTCGACGAGTCAAGCCTGAGTTCGTCACGAGTCGATTGTGAGCTACTCGGTTCGCTTGCACCCCTACCCTCAGATGAGATCTATTTATTAGTTGGTTTGGGTTCAAATAAATTACCTTTCTGTTTAACATTCATAATCTGATAGACTCTCATAATCATTCAAATTATTTTCCAAACTAATCAGACAGAAACTTCAACACCATATATGCTTTCTCTAGGACATTTAACAACACATCAACACTGTTCAAAACTCACAATAAATTGCACTCATTAACTATTGCTCAAAGGCTTGCTACATGCACAGAAAGATAATTGAAAACAATGTGTGGCAAAATAAATAAAAACTACGCAGATTCAGAAAATTCAACATCCTCCACATATTGATTAATCATTACCAACCCATAAGCTAATAAATAGTCTCTAGGCTTTCGTTAAATCATTTCCAAGTAAAAAACTTGCCCAAAAACTCATTTCAGCATGCTATGAAGAGTTGGGACTTCCGTTCCAAGAATCAGCCACTTCCTGATTGCACCTGGAAAATTAAATTTAAAAAAAAAAAAAAAAAAAAAAAAAAAAATCAACTTTAAAACGCCTCAATTTCACAAACTTTTAGCAACTCATTGACTTAAAGTTGTGTTTTCTCTGATGAAAAGCCATATTCTCTTATTTCAATCAGTCTAGGCAATACTGCAAAAAATAGGGCAAGACCTGAAAGTCAACAAGAGGTAAATAACTTAAATCCATCGAAATATACCTCTAAAGTTGTCTAAGACTAGTTCCAGATAGAAGATACCTATAAGATGGCCATGCCATGCTTGATCTTATCGCCTCTACTTCAATGTCATTGCTTATTTTCACTCAAGAGAAATGCTAAATATTGGCAATTCTTTTCTATTCAGATGTTTATACATTTAACAGATAATGGAACATCAAGTGTGCTTGTGTGCTTCTGTCTGTCCATTGCTCCACACAAACACATAATACAAGCACTGTTTAATCATCCTCGGACCCAAAAACGCTAACCTTACGAGGTGATGCAGACCGTGAATGTGATCGTGATCGTGACTGTGATCTTGATCTTGCTCTGAAAATTAAAATTTCAATACTCAAATAAAAATACTGTCCATAACAGGGCAAAAAGTAATAAATTACATTAGTTGACTGAAAACAGGTTACCTTGATGGTTTAACAGGAGATGCAGATCTAGATCTTGACACTGATCTAGAAGCATATTGTTCTAATGATTTACTGCAGAACAGCAGAATTTTTAGGATGCAGAATAGCATATTTAAGGATTGTATTTAAAAAGAATTAACTAAAAAGAATAAGATAAAAGAAATTGTACCTTCGATTTCTTCGCACACTTCTGCTCCTGCTCCTGCTCCTGCTCCTGCTCCTGCTTCTGCTTCGGCTTCTGCTTCGGCTTCTTGATGGACTACGATCATATCTCTTCACCTATACCAGTTGATAAAGAAAACAATGCCGCAGATTATCAAAAGGGCTTCTTTTTTCAGCAGTCAAACATCATTTTATCTCATGTACAAAAACTTGAGTGATTCTTTGCCTTTAATTAAGCTCAGTGCACAGCATTTTCATTGCAGCTATAATAATAAGACACGCAGGGGCTAGCAAGTTATATGCAGAATGACTTAGATATATTTCCAGCAGTCAAACATCATCATTTTATCTCATGTACAAAACTCGAGTGATCCTTTGCCTCTCAATTAAGCTCAGTGCACAGCATTTTCATTGCAGCTACAATAATAAGAGCACAGGACCTAGCAAGTTATATGCAGAATGACTTAGATTTACTCTGAATTATTTTCTTTTTACTTAGCAATACTTGTTTAAGGATTTAATAAATGACTTGGCTTTTATAAATAGGCTTTATGTGTTTTTCTTTGAAAAGAGAAGCTCTCTATTAAGGTCTCTAAACCTTAGTTCCTCTCTACTTTTCTATCCTTAACCCTAATTTCTCTTCTCTCTCCCCCATTCTTGCTCTCCTTTCCAACTCTTCAATTTCTATTGCCTTTTCTTTGTCTTTCTCCTACCTGTTCTACATCAGTTGTTTCCACTAAAAGATCGCATGCCCATTTAAATATTCTACTCTGCCTGTAGAACAAAAGCTTACAAATCTTCAGAATAGAAATAAGTGCATGCTCAACTCATTTAAATTGGCTAGAGGAACAAAACATATAAGACAATGATAAAACTAGAAGTTCCAATTAAAAGGTAAAAAAAATCATAATCATAGATACAACTATTACCGTTATCCGTCCTCTTGCCCAAGGATTTCTAAATTCAGTGTCATCAAGTTTCCGAATCTGAACAAGAGAGCATATCAGTTTGTTAGGTGGAAGATACCACAGCACCAACACCAAGGAAAAGGGACAAATAATTTGAAAACAAGAGCATGTGTTCTAAACAACTTACAGCATATTTCATGTCATCTGGATTGGTATAGTCAACAACGCCATAAGTTCCTGAACACACAGAAAATCCAGAGTCAAGACTAATTCAATATCATTAAGAGTGAGAACATGTCATAAGTTCCTGAAAATAATGTCTGGACTTGTCCAATTTTAAATCAAATTAAAGCATGTCACGATAAAACCATCGATTAATTCCCAGTGTGTGTATGTTTTTCAACTCAGACATCTATAACTCAATAGTCAAAGCATCAAATTACACTATCCACCACCCATGCCCAAGTTAAAAACCTATTTTAAAGGAAGAGTAATAATGTGATGGAAAAAGAAGCTAGCCCTTGTATTCTTACATCTGCACATCTTTTGCTACAGTTCAATGTGGATAAACAAGTGAAGTAATGTATACCAAGGATTCAGTGCACTAAACATAAAAAAAGAAAAGCCTACATGGAGGAAAAATGATAATTGATACTTATAGAAGGCTTACCCTCACTGTCACGGGAAACTTCAGCGAAACACACATCACCTGCTTTTCGCATATGATCCTGAAATAAATTTTCAAAATTAAAGCAATCAGTATAGCAACATGGACAGAATTTATACACACCTGTCAAATATTAGAAGTTTCAAACCTTCAAATCTTGCCAGGAGGCTGATGAAGGGAGCCCACGGACAATAACTGCACACCAAAAAAAATGTGCACTAATACTGCTCAAACATATATCAAATAGAACTACAAATTAGAGATAAACAAAGATGGGCAATATTTGAACATAGCAAGACCCATCCAATTCTTTTGGTCCCAGACCCACCTCGATATTCAGAATGGCGTGAGATTCCAAAACGACCACCACCACCACCACCACCACTACCACCACCACCACCACCACCACCACCACCACCACCATAGCTACCACGACGATCACTTGATGATGGACCTCTACCACCATGGGCAAGCTCAACCTGCAGTAATCACAATGGTAAATCAATCACAAGAAATCTACCACCAAACATAGATGAAAACAAACAGAACATCTCATTACCCTTAAACGACAACCATCAAAATTATAGCCATCACGACCTCTTATTGCATCTTCTGCATCACGAGAATTCTCAAACTACCAGCCAAACAAACACATAGTCAGAGAGAGGAGAACTTTAGTCTAACCACAATCAAAAGAGAAGAGAAAAAAAGTGAAATATACCTCTACAAAACAATAACATGGAGGACGAGGTGGAATCTTCAATTCAATATCCAATATACGACCATACTACAAACAAAGAAATTTATAATATTTAGCCTTACAATAAAACAATTGAAACATTTAAACTAATAGAAGTGAATGCAACACCATAAAAATCACAGAATTCAAGAAAAATCAACCAATGAACAGCACATGGAATAGGAAAATGTAAAGTAAATGTTCTTTTTATATTAAAAAAAATTAACTAAAAAAGTTTGCATATATTTTCCCTCAGTAAATTACAGGTCGACACAGTGAGAGACTAACACAGACTATCAGAGTATTTACTTGTGACCAAGAAACCCTACATTCAACTGCCAATAATAAAGAACCATAAAAGTCTGTTAACAACAAACCTTGTAGAATAAATCTTCAACTTCGTATTCTCTTATATCCGATGGCAGGTTGCCAACATAGATTGTGCGAGAAAAGCGACCACTCATTTCTGATGATAGAGCAAAAACTTCGCTGCATACATGAAAAGGAAATTTGCATAAATAATGAAACATAATCTCTAAATATCAGAAAACAAAATAACCCTATCCACTTTGATATCCAATTATCATCGAAACCAAACTATGAAGCAAACCAAGTGAGCAATCCTCGATGAGAGCGGTGCTCCACAAGCTCCATTGCTCATTTGCTCCAGGATGCTCCAAAGCTATAATAAAATTGAAATTTAATTTGTTCTCCTCATCCTCCCATGAATTTTTGCAGAGCGTAAAGATCTTCCGAAAGTGAGCATGAATCTCCAATTATAAAAAATAAACCCATTTCTCCCACTCCCTCTCTATAACCAACCAACCAACCAACCCCTATGTATGATTGCAATTGCAAAGCTCAAATTTGTTCCAAGCGCTTCAAATCTATCATAAACAAAGCATTTGTGTCATGAGATCACATATATTTGTTATGCATTTACCTTACTCATCTCTCTTTTTAATTAAAAAATAAATCAAAATTCTTTTAGTCTTTTAACTTCTCCAATTCAAAATTTCAACTAAAACCTAACCACACAAAGCAGTAAGTTAACTAACAAGGAGCACTGAACAAAGCTTCATTGCAAAACGCAAGTTCACAGCTTGGCCACATCGCACCAAAATTTGATATTTCGGTCTCGTGTTTGTTTCATCTTTGACCAACTAAACATTAGCAAGAGAACAAAACTATAGAAAAAAGTTAAAAGATTTAAATGCATGAATAATCTATGAAATGAAATTTAAAAAAAAAAAAAAATTGACCTTATTGTACCCAAGAATTGTGAGCTGAAGCCGCCGTCGCCAAGAGAAACAGAGAGAGTTAGGGTTTGTCCTGGTGAGAAATAATCTCCCCTATGCCAGATGAATCCATCCGTTTATTTTCTAATTTATAAATAAAGATGGACGGCTCAGATTGTATATTTCTGTCGGACCCATCTACCAAGTATATAGAGACAATAACGTTCTCCTATGTTTTTTATTGTAATCTAAAAACTCCTCTACGTTTTCAAAATTATTGCTAACCTCCTATATATATCATGGGTGATGTCTGGTATTTACTTATTACAATAATACTAGACTTACCAATCCAACTACCGACTTTGATATATTTATCCAACTACTCAAACCTCAAAATTCGACTCAATTCACATGAGTCGATATATCAAAGTCGATAATTGGATCGATAAGTCTAATAGTACTGTACTTATTAATACGTATTTCCCCAATGCTTGCTAACTTGATAAAGTAATATTTTCAAATTTTCAAATTTATAAGGGGTGTTTAAAATAAAGACAAGTTTTAGGGGATTTGTAGATATTAACCCTATAAAATAATATGTGAATCCTGGTTGTTTCAGAGCTTCCCAGGCGACTCGAACTAGGGTTTTCACTCTCCTAAACATAAAATCCTCCCTTTCCCTCCAACTTTTTAAACAAAGAGTGAAGAATGGCAAGACGGTTCCAGGCAGCTGCGCTTGTTGCTGCTCCTAATTACCCCAACGTCATCGCCTGGTCCGATGAAAATCTAATTGCCGTTGCTTCTGATCATCTCGTCACCATTCTTGTAAACTTCTCTTTTTTCACTTTTTATTATTTTCCTGTGAATTTTACTGCCGAGGGTTCTACACTCCTTTTAATCGGACTCTTAATCGATCTTTTCCACTGAATTTTCATGATTTTGTTTGCTTTCTTTGTTGTGCTTGCATTCTGCTAATTGGCTTGTGTGGCAGGTTCAATTTACTGTTTTCACTGTAGATATAATTCCAATAGGAAAAAATAAATTTAATATTTAGTCATAGTTTCATTAATTGAAAAATAATTCTATATATGCCAAATCCTTGATTGGATATTGTTTCGGGAAACAGGGCAACTAAATTTACATTTCTTTTCCCTATTTTTGAATGCTATAGAAACGTCATTTTTATTTTTTTAAATTAAAATAGGTTTCAAATGTTGTATCGAATGCATTTTCTGATAAATTAAAATTACGATTTAAAATAACCATGAGATATGGCCCAGCTGGTAACTGGGCTCCAAGTGGGGCAAACTTTACTGGCAATGTCAAGGGTTCGAACCACATTGGAAGCAACTTGTGGCTAGGGGTACTTCTCCGAGCCCTGATCGGGATTAGTCTCATACCTTCAGGTATGGGGAGACCCGAGGCTTTCACCGAAAATAAAAGAAAAATACGATTTAAAATGATTAAAAAATGTCTAAGCAATGAAAATACATTCTATTCTAGTTACTTTGAATTAACATTAAAAAGATATTGGTGGAGGGTAGTTCTTGTGAAAACATTAAAGATTCCCTGATAGTTTCCCTTTTTCAACTATGTTTCGCATAGATGTAAATTCGAAAATAATTTGTTGACTTATACATTTTATGTGTGTGTGTTTTAAATCCAGAATCCGTCATTTCTTTCTGGTCCTAGAGGCTTGATTACAATTGAAGATAGTAAACCACATCCAATTGGTGTAGTTAAAAGAGAAGGTGAGCAATTATAATGAAAATAGGTTAACTTCAGTTGTAAATAGTATTCTTTTATTAAGTTATTTAATTTGTCTGTAATTCAATTCAAAATGGTCACAGATTTACTTAGTGGTTGCTTGCTTTCCACCTGTTTGCATCGAGATCGCCATCCTTGTGTTCGATCGATTTCATGGTCTCCTATTGGAATGGCTGCCAACTCAGGGTATGAGTTTCAAAATATCTTAGGGCAGTTGCCCTCTGATTCACGATAAACTTTCTTTGCAATGCAATTGATACAAGCTCTTTTTCTACAGAAGTATTATAATGGAATTTAGTTGGTATTATTATTTCCAGGTGCTTGTTGGCAGTTTGCACTACAGAAGGACGTGTGAAGGTTTATCGTCCTCCATTTTGTGATTTTGGGGCCGAATGGATAGAGGTATGCACCAAAACAATTGTGTAATGATAGTGAATCTTGTGATTAACAAGGCGATTTTCAAGGGAAATGAAATTAGTTTCAAATACTTAAGTCCTTCAGTTGAGATGGAGTGACTACCAAAATGCAGAATTGAGAGATCAAATTGGTTTTGGATTAATCATATTCCAAGTAAAAGGAAAGTCCCCTGTAATTGCTTGTACATATACTAATTATAATTGGTTATATATAATATTAACTATGATTGCTTATTTATATATTAATTATAATTGCTTTAAAAGATGGAAGCAAATCCTATTGGTTATTTGTATTCAAGTTTATTTATCTACTATTCCTCAAAGACGATACATATTTTATATGCAACTCAGTTTCTCATTCATTGCCTCTATAAAGTTAAACAAAAGAACAATATTCTTCCTCCCCTTCCCTCTTGTGCATTTGTTTGTTCATCACTTTCAGTAATTGTGAATTTAATGATTTGTGAGTTTTATCTATAGTTATTTCTTGTGATATTGTTGTCTATATGTAGTCTATCGGATTACAGTTTGTTTTCCTACAGTTTCCTTATTATAGGTCATGGCTGTTTATATAGCTGTTATTTATGTGTTACAATCCAGCTGTATCTTTATCTTCCTTGCATATTTTTAGGTCATGGATATATCAGACAGACTATATGATTACCTTGCAAATATTGATTTTGAAGAGTTGAACAATTCTTCTACCAAATCTTTTGTTGTAAGTTTACACTTTTCCTGTGTCTTCTTACAAACTCATGCTATAATGCAGTAATTATCTCAATATTTGGTTTTTGTATAAAACCGTATTAGCCCTTATTTTTGTATGATAATCTTGTATATTGTGTTACAAGGGGGAAGCAACAGAACATGCTTCTATTGATGACATAACGAACTCCATACCAAGAAAGAAGCAGAAGCAAAGAAGAGTGTATGTATCTGCTGTAATGTAAATGACTCATTCTGTTATAAGTTTCAACTAATTAGAAGTTCATTCAGTAACATACTTCTCATTGTTTACTTTGCATGCTCTCTTTTAAGTAGGCAAATCCTATTTATGTTCAAGTTAACATATGAAATGGGAAAATCAACTGTAACTTGCTGTAACAAGTAGAAGCAAGGAGGATAAAAATTTAATACCAATGTTCAGCTTAGTGTAAAAAGCCCTTGGCTTCAGTTAGGAAATCAAGGGTTCAAACCCCATTAGGGCCACCTACTTGGGATATCATATCAAACAAGCTTCCAGGCTGCCGAGGTTGTAAGGTGTAGAAGTAGTCCTTAGTTTTAAAGAGCAGTGAACACATAAGGAGGGTTGAGGGATTTCTGGGTGCCTTACAAGTTTTGAGTGGTTTTGCTTGGTTGTGGATTTAATATAGTTAAAGGACAAAAGATGATTGATGGTTCAAATAAGGGTGGAAAAGGTTGAATTTTGATGGCTGCCTTGTTTCTGAAAATTGAGAAATTAGGTGCAGCAATTTATAGGCAATACCATATGTAGGGAATTAGATTGAAAAATTAGGTGATGATTACGGTTGTGATTAATGGGACACATATCTTTGATTTACCCATACCAATAAGACTTGATGCACTAGATTAGACTACAAAGGGTCCTACATGGGCACCAAATTGATTTTTTCATTTTTTTTTTTTTTTTAATCTTTTTTTCTTTTTGTTTCTATTGGATTTGAAGTCATTCATATTGAACCTCTAATCGTTTGCATGAGATGCTTTCCTTGTTGCACTACCTATTTTTTTTTTTTCTCTTGGATGATTATGCAGTAGTAATGATGCTTCTAGAAGTAGCAAGGGTGCCAATGTTGGGTCTAGTGAATCTACTGAAATGGCCAGGGTATGGCTTTCATGCCAAGATGCTTTTTCTAATTCTCCCCACCCTCAAACTATACTCTTTTTGTTCAATATGTTACATTATTTGTTTTCGTTGGTCTTGGAATTGTTAGGTTTTCTAATTATGTTATACTAAGTTCCATTGAAGTTTTCTTTTTAATTATTATTATTATTCAGGTAATGGAGATAAAATCTGATAAGCTGAAAGGAAAAAATTCTCGTCGGATATTCTCGGTGACTAAATCTAAAAGAAAACTTGTCAACGAGATATCCAGTAACTGCACACTCCCACTAATAGCTCCTTTTGAGTATGCCTCTTGGAGTGCAATGCTGCATTCACTTGTTGTTGCCTGGTCACCAATGTTGAGATTGTCATCCAAAAATTGTCCAATTGTTCAAAATGGTTCATCCAATCAATTCTCTGTATTGGCAATTGGTGGGAAGTCTGGTAAAATTTCATTTTGGAGAATTTTTTCTCCAAAATTTTACTCCATTGAGCATAGCAAGATTGATACCACTTTAGTGCAAGTTGGGCTCCTTCAGGCACACAATTCTTGGATCACTGCTATCAGTTGGGCATTACTGTCTTCTAATTCTTCAAATCCTCAAGTTTTATTGGTTACTGGGAGTTCTGATGGGAGGTGAGCTAGTTATACCAGTATATTGTAACTAGATAAATTTCATTTGTAAATGGGCATTAGAGATACTTTTCAGTTACTTCATCTTTTAAGTACTTTTGCAAAGCTATGATATTCAGGTATGTGGGGTTATATTTGCCAAACATAGTGTCCATGTGGAAGAAATGTATGTTACCATTTTTCATATAATGAGCACTTTAGGACTTTCAGTTTCGAAAGAATTTAAGGATAAGTAATTTGGATGATTTTTTTTTCCTTGGGGGCTGCATAGTTTTTAAATTATTAGAGTGCCATATATTTGTTTGGCAAAGATCAGCTTCAGACTTGTGGGAGTCTTTTCTATGGTTCTTTATTTTATTTTTTTTATCTTCATAGGCAGATAGCATCTTTATAGTGGTTCACCTGTGCACATTCTTGCTTCTTACTAATCCAATATTTTTTTTGTTTCCTGCTGAAAAAATTTATATACTTTGCACTTTAAAGGAGAATCATATGGTAAGTTAATTGTATAAAAATGAAGTTTTTCCATATATTTGCCTTTCTATTATTTAAATAAGTGTACTCTGCAACTAGTTTAACCCTGTTGCATGAGAAATAAATCTTTCAATCCTTTTAATTGGTGTTTATGCTCACTTATAAGTGAAATAGTTTTTCTTTTGTGAACTGTAAATATGAGGAATCCCATTGATGTTTGGAAGGTTGATATTGACTTTTTCTTTTTTTTTTGTTTGTTTCTTCTTTCTTTTCTAGTGTGAGGATTTGGACTGGGTATAGTGAGGAGTTGCTAAATTCTGTAGAAGTTCATCATGCTCCATTTTCCATATTGAAGGAGGTAGCTCTTGTTCTTTCAAGTATTTCAACCTTGTTTATAGATTTATTCTATAGTTTAGTAAACCAAATCGATTCTGACTCTGAAAGTTTTTTTAATAGGTTATAACTATTAATAATGTCCCAATCTATGTCCTCTCACTTTGTGTGCCTGCTCGATCCTCACACCAAATGCTGTTAGCAATAGGCAAAGGATCTGGATCCTTTGATGTATGGATATGTGACATATCTAGCAACAAGTTTGATAAAGCTGGCTCATATGATGCTCATGACCAAGTTGTAAGTTTTTTCATGTTATTTTTCTTTTGCTGCATTTGAATGTTGACATTTGAGTATTTTGAGGATATACATATCAGGTTACAGGTTTGGCTTGGGCTTTTGATGGTTCTTCTCTCTATAGCTGTAGTCAGGTACTAAATTTCATGAAGTTCAATTGCATGATAATTGTATTTCTGAAGTTTGATGGTTATTTTTATCATCAATATTGGATTTTATTTCTTGTCAATGTTTTATATCCATTGAAACGGTTTTTAATCAAGCTTAACCAATCTAACTTTCAAAACTTACACTCTCTATATGTGCATTTTTACCTGTGTGAGACTGACCACTTTCAGGACTCAAGGATCTGCAAACTCTTGCTTCGCAGTCTGAGTCCTTGTAGAGAAAAGTCAATAGCCTTGATATAAAAAAAAAAATTTCCGGGATCTGTAATTTATGTGGTTTGTTTCCTTTTCTAGTATTTTTCTTCCTAGTTTGAATAAGAGAGACGACTTCCTTAGGTGGATTGATCTTCTTGCCTATTAAATGGTGATTTTATTTCCCAAGATATTTGATTTGGTTTCCTGGTGAATGTCTACCTTTTCTAGTCAGTTCTTGGCCTTGGCCCTATAAATTGAGGCCTAGATTGATGTTGTGGAACACAGCTGAAAATGAAATGATTTTCTGAGTTGCTTACTCCCTCTAATTCTCTCTCAATTGTTTCTCCTCTTTCTTCAAACTTCCTTTCCCTTTCTTTCCTCTTTCTGATCTCTATCAGGCCCTTAGTTGAATCTAATTTCTATGCCAAGCATTTACATTTATATCAGAGAAAGAAATTTAATCTGCTAAAGTGAAAGACTTACTAATTGGAATATGCTTGCAGTTTCCCTGAATTATTTATGCATTAGTCAAAGTATGATTCTTGTCAATCAAGAAACTAAATTTGACATCCGTAAACATTGTCACTCCACCTCAGAGTATAGTCTTAAAGCAAAGTTGTTATACCTCATGTTAGTGCAAATATAACATTAGGAAGCTTAATTAGATATCGTAAGCTACTATGGTTTGTCTATGATATAAGGAAGTCTCTGTAGAAATGCAATTAACACTTCATAAGTATTATGTTGCATTTACTATCTTTCTTCCTCTTTCTCTGTTTTATTGCTTTTGTCATAGACATGGCATACATAGTTCATTACATATAAGTTGTCTCGTCTCGATCCATCAGCAAAGAAAAGAAATTACAAGGAGAATTTCCTTGTTTAATGTTGGCCAATTGATTGATGAAGTCTCTGTCACTCTCACGCTGTTTCTTTTTCTCCTAAAATGATGTTAGGATAATTTTGTGCGTAGCTGGGTTTTATATGGGAATACCCTCTCTGAAGTACCCATTCCCTCCAACACTCCTGGTCTGAAGAGCCCCACTGATGTATGATTTTATCTTTTTTATCTCTACTTGCTTTTATTAATTCTAGTTGAGAAAGGAAAAAAGAAAAACTGATGAAATTTTTGATGCAGCTTCCAGATGTATTTGTATCTTGCCTTGGTTTGGCAGTGTCCCCTGGAAATCTTATTCTTGCTATGGTATGACATTTTAATCCCCAGCATCTCGTGTTCTTCTCTGTGTGATTAGTTTCAAACCTAGATATTTTCTGCTTCCTGAAAAAATTATTCTGACACAATTTATATGCCCTTGAATTATGATTGTACATATTATAAATGAATCCTGCCCTTATTGAGAACCATTATTGCATTTATTTTACACTAGTAATCTAAACATATTCATTTGGTGCTATTAGAATTCTTTTTTTTTTTTTATTATTAAAACAAAATTGTTTCTGTTTTTATGTGGAAATATAACTAATTTCCATTAGTGGCATATGGTGCATCTGCCCAATACTTCTATCAAAATCCATCGTACACACAAGTAGTATGCATCCTACAGTTGTTTGGTTGTCTTGTCTCATTTAACAATTAAGAATATTTTTTAGGAACAATCATGATGCAAGCTGTAGTTTCACATACTATAAGTCAAAATCTAAAAGATTGGCACTTGATCCATGCAGGTCCGTAATTTTGATCTTGATTCATTGGATCACATGTACCAGGCAAGGTGAATGACAATTTTACTACTATAGTCTTTATCAGAGCTACTCTCTGTATCATGTGCATGTAAGATTTAGGAATGTTATAACTGCTGTAGAATAGTTAGATACATGAAGCTAAGGATAGTGTATTGGGGAGATGGAGTACAATTCTACTCAACTTGAAAAGGCCTTCATCCCAGCTGCTACCAGCAAAAGATGCAAACGGGGAAAACTTGCATAACTTGTGGATTAGGGATACAAATAAGTTAAGTTGAATAGTTGGGGCATTTCAAACTTAGCTCAAATTAATGGTTAGAATTTGAGTTTAGCTCAAGCAAAATAATATTTAGCGAAGTTGAAGCTAAGAATAGTGTATTGGCGAGATGGAGTACAATTCTACTAAACTTGAAAAGGTCTTCATCCCAGCTACTACCAGCAAAAGATGTGAAAGGGGAAAACTTGCATAACTTGTGGGTTAGGGACACAAATAAGTTAAGTTGAATAGTTGGGGCATTTCAAACTTGGCTCAAATTAATGGTTAGAATTTGAGTTTAGCTCAAGCAAAATAATATTTGGCGAAGTTGAAGCTTAAAATAAGCTAAAATAATTTTTCATTTCATTTTATGTATATACAGATTGTATTTACACTCTACACCAGATACCATGCGCATTAATTTGCATATAATTATATTATATATAGTTTATAACATTATACACATTGCTATACTAATATATAAATTCTTTAGCTTGAGCTCCTTAGTTGACCTTGAGCAAAACTTTTAGAGGTCCAGATTTGAGCTCAGAAATTGAACAAGCCCAATATTATGTTTGAGCTCATTGCTTTTGTTAAACACATTGTCTGCATCTATGAAAGTGAAAAGAAAGAGGGAGCAGTGTAAGAGAAAAGGAAATATGTTGTTTGATTGATGCTTGTTATTTATGTCTCTCATTTTGTAGTATGCTAAATTTTCTGGAAACATTCTCAGGGCTCACAAGGCTGCCATTGAGTTTTTCTGGATTGGTGGGCAACAACTAGATGTTTTGCCAAACACTTCTCAGGAGTATGGTCTTGAAGCTTTTCCTGATTTTTCTGAGAAGGAATTGGCTAGTTGGGAGTCCAATATTTTGTGGTCTTTAAAGCAGTATGAAGATCAAGATAAGCCTTTGGTTGTTTGGGATGTCATAGTAGCACTACTGGTTTTCAAGAGGTCTATACCAAAGTATGTAGAATGTGCACTGGTCAAGTGGCTGTCAACATTTTATCCGGGATCCCATGTGTCCTGTTCTACAGAAAAGGTTCTGTCAAATCTTCATAAAAATCTCTCAAAGAATAGTTCTCGTCGATTGCACCTTCTCAATATTATCTGTAGATATGTAATGCTAACAGAGGTGAAGGCTGATGATATTAACAACAAACATCAGAAATCAAGAAGACTATGTGGCTCCGAAGAGGAGCAGCTTACTGTTTGGATGGAGTTACTTTTGAACAGTGAAAGAGAGCTCCGTCAAAGGCTTGTGAGTCTCAGTTTTTCTGCTTTTATAACTCTCACCTCCCATTCAACCTCAACTAGTGTTCAAGCTAGTTGTTGGTGTCCTGATGGAATTTCACAAATGGAACACTGGGTTGCACATAATTATGAAACTTCAGAGGATCAACTAAAAGCCCTCGCATCAGAAGTTGTAGGACGGAGAAGGAGGTAATCTTTCTACTGTGTTCTATAAATACAATATTATTTAACGTAAATCAATTTATATAAATACTTACTCGGCAAAGAGGCAAACAAAAAGGGATTATTTGGTTATCTTGCTGGAAGTTTGATAAGTTCTGTTTTTTTTCATTAACAATAGAAGGCTCAAGTCCATGGCAAGCCATCATCTCTAATAATAGCAAAAGACAAATTAAATCATTCATGAAATCACTGAAAAGGATTTTTTCATAACTCAACCCGTCAAAGTCTTGTCCATGTATAATGTTTGCTAAAGGATTTCTTTTTTATAAGTTTCGGGATGTATGAAACTCCTTTTAAACTTATTGTTCCATATATTTTTTGTCTCACACACCAGGATTCTTTCCACTAAATATGTAGAGGAAGAGAAATGTAGCTATTGTTTGGCACCTGTCCCTTTCAATTCCCCAGAAGTTGCTGTTTGCCAAGGTAGCCAGAACCACAAACTAGTAAGATGTGCCGTTTCTATGCAGGTTTGCCCTACTACTCCTCTATGGTTTTGCAAGTGTTGTCATAGACAGGCTTCCAAGTTGGCATCAGAGTCTCTTTTTAAAATGCCTAAATATCCAGTAGATTTCAAGAACTTAAAAGAATATTCTGTTCAAGAAGAAATCTCAAAACCCTTGTGTCCCTTTTGTGGGATACTTCTACAGAGATTACAGCCAGAATTTTTACTCTCAGCATCACCAGTGTAAGCTACGCGCTTTTTGTAGTTTATGGTGTCATGTAGGTAATCATTGTAAAATCATATAGCATCAAAGTAGAAAAGCAAAATGCCAATGAAGTTTCAAGCATTCGGATTTAACTCATTGGCATTCAGATTCTTCATCTTGAAGCAAAGCTTCAAATGCCCTCATGAGTGAATTACATGTCTGTTGTGTATGATTGTCATCAGGGATAGTCACTCATGAGATTATGTGACATGAGCAAGTTAATGTAACAATCGTCATAACTTATGTGTATAGCTGGTTTGTATAGATTAGTGGCGTTTCTCTGTTAGAGTGATCTAGAGCATTGCTTTCGGATGTTACACAATCTTAATGTTGTTAGTGTTTATACGATGAGATTTCACTTCTGTTGTAACGTCTGAACTGTGTAATTATTTTATATAGTGAAATATTTCCTTCATCTTCAATCTATTTATGGTATTATATCTCCTGCATATTTATGCCTTGACTTTGGGATTTGATTATGAAGAGATCTGATGCACTCATTGAAGAAGGTTTGGTTTTCTGTTTTGATCATTATTTTAAAAACCGGATCGGAGGGCAACCCGTTCTGATGGCCGGGTCACGGTTCAACCGGTCTAACCGGTTAGACTGTCGGTTGGACCGGTGACATCATCACACATCATGATGATGTTAGCACATTTTTAAAATAATTTTTTTTTTTTTTTAGATTTTTATTTTTTAATAAGATAATAACAACTATTGTCTAACATGATTCAAAGTTCAAAATCCATTCTTCTTATTCCACCCTATCTGACAACACAACAATCCTTGGGAAATTTGATTTCAGCTTCAGCCCTTCTAACTTCAATATAAATGCTTAACTGCTAATAATTAAAGGATTTATAATATTTCTATGGATACAATTTTTTTATAAAAATATTTCTCTGTATTTAAGTTTATGTTTGAATAGAGCACCAAACCATTGTTTCACACTTCCCAAAAGTTAAAAATTACAGAGCTTGGTAGAGCGTTCAGACTCAGTACTGAAACCGGACTTAAATCAAAATAGTGTGGGAGAAAGTATCAAAGATACGAAAAATCTTCCGAATAACTTTCTTCTGACCTTTATCTGCTTAACGTTGGAAACCAAAAAGGTGGGCCAAAAGAAAATCTTGAACCCAAAAGATTATAATATTATACAGTCTAATATACGGATTTAACCAGTGAACATATGGCAGCTTGACTTTAAATTCTCTTCTCAGCCTTTCATTTCCAATGTTCCTCTATACCTGTTCTTTTACTTTTCCCAACCAAGAAGAACACAAAGAAAGTTCTCTCTCTCACCATAAGCCAGAGAAAATGGGGTCACCACTTTCTGGCTTTCTCAAACAATACAACATTGAATCTCTGATGATTTTTATGATCTTCTTCTTGAGCTCTATTCCTAACACAATGAACCTTTCTTTTAATCTCTCTTTAGCTACCACCACAATTCAAACTCATTCTTCTTCCTCCAACATCCCTTTCTCATTAAAACAACTGCCTCTGGACGGCTACCTTAGCTTTCAAAATATGCATCATGCAGCTCAGGACTTTGGCAATACTCACCATTTCCAACCATTAGCAATTCTATATCCTAAATTAGTTTCTGATATTTCCTCAACAATAAAGCATATCTATCATATGGGTTATGCTTCTGATCTCACAGTGGCTGCTAGAGGCCATGGCCACTCCCTTCAAGGCTAGTCACAAACTCAAGGAGGTGTAGTTATCAACATAGAATCACTCCAAGAACCACTTATGGAAGTTCACCCTCTTAAATTGTCGTATGTGGATGTTTCCGGTGGTGAGTTGTGGATTAATATTCTGCATGAGACTCTTAAACATGTGCTCTCACCAAAGTCTTGGACATATTACCTATATCTCACCGTCGGAGGCACGCTATCGAATGCTGAAATCAGTGGTTGGGCATTTCTCCATGGACCCCAGATCAATAATGTTTACCAACGAGTTCAGATGTGATTTGGGTGGGTTGAGAAAGACTGAAAGAGAAGAAGATGAGAAAGGGCTGCGTTGCGTATTAGGGATTTTTAAGATTTGGACCGGTTTATCTGCCTGTTCGGTTGGACCGGCGGTTCACTAAAATTATCCGGTTTTCAAATGGTTTAAAACGGCTCAGTGTATTATAACGGTTTTGGGGTTGACTCGAACCGAATACGTGACCGGTCCCCGGTTGGACCGGCCGGTCTGGTCCGGTTTTTAAAATAGTGGTTTTGATTAACAAACACCATTTCAAGACAAGGTGATGTCAAACTCTCTAGTTAAATTTTCACTCAACAATAACAAAGCCTGAGCTTGAGTAAAATAGTTGTTTTATAGTGACCCAAATTACTCTATTGATTGCAAAGGTTTTTGATATGCAAGACAAATCTTCTAACTTACTCGATATGATATACTATTTTTCCTTAACTAAAAAGAGGATTTAAATATACTGATCTCGAAGAATGAGAAAAAAAAATCATTTTACATTTCTACTTAATTTTCTTAACATTTTGATACTCAATCTAAGTTATCTTTTTGGATGAATAAATGAGCTTTTATAGTTTATAGTGTCATATGTGGCAAGGTTTTAAAACTTGGCCTGACCCGATCAACTGAACTAGTTCAACTGGGATTAGGGGCCTTCACCGAGTCGAGTTACTAATTTCCATTGTTCATGGAAAACTCTAGAGAGTAGGATGATGCTTGACGAGCAATTGGTGGCTAGGATGTTCGAGTTTTGAAGAATAGGGGTTGATGAGTCTAAAGGTGGTGACGGAGGCGATTTCTGATGGGTGAAACAGTCAACAATTGCAAAAATGCACAACAGCTTGCCGGCGATTGAGGACAACGATCGGTGAGCAATTGGTGATTGGGATGTTGGGGGTTTTGAAGAGGAAGGGGTGGTGAGTCTAAAGGTGGCAACGAAAGCAATTTCTAGTGAGTGAAATGATCAGCAATTGCAAAAATTGCGCGGCGGCAACAACAGCTGTTATTGACAATTGGCGAGGCAAACGAGGATGGGGTGAGATGGGTTTTAGTCAGAAGGCTGAGAGGGTGTTTTCATGGTGAAGGGGAGTGTTATCGACGCTGAAAATAGGCCGTATTTGGCTTGGGTTGTCGATTGTTGATTTGCATTTGGGGGTTTGGTGCAAGATTTCAAATCTATAGGGACTTATAGAGTTTTTATGGGTTTTTTTTGCTAGCTTTAAAATTTTTTACATGTTGATATCATCGGTTTGACCCATCAGTCAAACCAGTTCAACCGATCAACCTAGAGCCCGACCATTTTTTTGAGTTTCCCGAGGCCGAGTTTTAAAACCTTTGATATTTAGTAAATCTTGAGCCCTTTCTTCTATAAGATGATTAAAATAAGCAAAAGAGTGAACATAAGAGGCGAGATCATTAACAATATAAAGAAAAAAACACATCCATAATTGGATCTTGATTGCATGAAGATGCAAAATACTTATACATGTGTTGTTAAGTTTTAGGTGGAGTGGACGACATTAATTAGATGCCTCCCGAGGAACTAGAATAGGGAAAGATAAATGAGAATTTTTAACATGCATTTGTTATTCATACAAACACGTTGAAGAAAATATGGGGCGGTAGAAGCTCAACTACCTGCGAATTGGTAAATATAAACAAAGTCAAATGTGATTGAAAATTCAACTGTCCAATTAAACAAGTTAATTTGTGACTCTTTAATTAATTAAAATAAGAATACATGTTTCAGAAACTAATATTTAAATTAAGCAATTATCATTATTTTTTTAATTGAATGGAATTTATGGTTTTTTAAATACAAATAATATTTTGACGAGTAAACAACATGTTCCCACCCAAGGTTTACTGAAAATACAAGTTCCCACCCCTAGTTTCATAAATTCTACATTCTCATCCTTAAATTAACCAAAAATCATTTAATATAACGGTTAAAGGGTCTTTATGTCTTTTTACCAAAATTTTCTAACAACCCAATCCATCCTCAACTCCACCGCCACCATCCCTTTGCCACCTCAAACACCATCTCCCAGTCGCTGCAAAACCCCAAACCATCTCCCAGCCGCCAGAAAATCCACACCAACTCCTAGCCCCTGCAAAACCCACACCATCTCCCAACTGCCACAAAACCCATCTAAGCGACTTTTCGTCTTCCACAGTTGCAGGACTTTCCGGCTAGCCTTCGATGCCAACTTGTCGGCAAACCTCGCCACCCACATCATAACCCCAACATAAGCACCATAACCCCAATCATCATTTAACTCAACCAAACCCCAAGGAAAATGCCTTCAATCAACGGTGAAAAGAGGGTGAACAGGGTAGAGAAATACGAGGGTTTTGGAGAAGGCAGCCCGATAAGTCGAATGGCTAGGTGGGGGATGATTTCTAGTGGAGAAGGCGGCCCAAAAAAGGTTGGGAAGTTGGGCAAAAAACACAAAACCCAAATGGGAATGGGAATGGGAATGGGAATGGGAATGGGAATGGGAATGGTTTGGAATGACATGGTACAGGGATAGTTTTGTAATAGCATTTGTTGGAGCTCTACAGTCACTAATAGAGTCACTTTAGGGGTGGGAATTTAGAATAAATAGAACAAGGGGTGGAAATTGGTTATTTCATTTATCTTTGGGTGGGAACATGTCATTTGCTCTATTTTGAGTTTTAACCATAGCGATTTATACAACGTGGTAAGGTTTTAATGGTGAAAAATCCAACGCCAAAATCTGTCCTCTTCTTTAATTTTAGGTATATCTTCACAGAATATTACATCCCTTCTTTCCCTCCAAGTCCAATATATTAAAATTAAATAACAAGTCCTCGTTTCCTTCTCTCGCTTTTGAAATTTTATTTTAGGGTTTTAACAGTTTTCTCTTTAATATTTGAAGAAAATTTAAAGACACCCAAGGATTTCGAATAGTAAAATGCATCCAAAAAATTGATTACTTTATCATATTAATACCCTTTCCTTTCCAACTTTTATTTCTTCAAATTTTATTAACCAATTTTATAGAACAAATTATAATTAAAGTAAATATAAGAATATAAATTATTATTTAATTTTATACAATAAATTAAAAATAAAAAACTTAAACTCAATTAAATTACATACTTAAAAAATAAATAAAATAAAAAGTGGTGTTATACCAACAAACTCTTATATACAAACTGATGTAGCACAATTATTTTATTTACACATCATTCATCTATATTAATTAGTGTTTATTAAGTTGATTTTGTATTAAATTTTATTGATTTACTTTGTGTTACATCAGTTTGTGTGAAAAAAAAATTGTACATATAATAATATTTTAAAATAAAATAGAATAAGATAAATGATACTAAGGTCTTTTAAGAACAAAATTGAAAAGAATATATAACTAGACTTATAC